ATATATATATATATGCATATATGAATGCACGATTCACATGCTTGCAAATGAAAGGCGAAATGCCCAGTTTTGATCTGGTTGCATGGCTCCCGGTCCAGTTGTAAAAGCACTACCAGTACTGGCCGAAACCATGCTACACTGACCGTATCTACTACTCAGGGGTCCAGTGGACAGATGCATGATTTTGCCAGCACAGCCCATATATCCATGCTTGATGAAGCATGGTGTGTTTGTAGCAGCCTGTCTCTTTGCCTATGTGCCTGGTCTGCTCATTGCAATCGCACATGCAATTTCAAGAGTGCCTGTGCATTATGTACATGCACATGACCCTAGTGCAAGGGTTTGGAAGCCAGCAGGTTGGAGCATGATGCCTCTCATGCCCTGGAGACTCAGCACTGACTATCCTTACCCCAGGTTCCAACTTCTTGAGGTCCGAAACCCCAACACACCGTGGTCCTTAACAGCGAATCGCTTCAGGCCAGACACCCACGCCTCGTGTTGAGGAGGACGCCGGCCAGGCGCTGCACACCTCTGGGGCTGCATAGCTTCGATGCGACTCAGACAAAACTCGAAAACATGAGAAGATTTGCCTGAGTTTGCAGGTGGCCCGAGCACAGAGCTCGTCGGGCAGTTCAAGCGGAGGCACGCACGCATTCCCTTTGCTGTGCAAAGGTCCTAAGGTGCTCATGTGGTTGGGCAGCATCTGAAGGCGAGCGACGACCCCGTCTTGATCAGCGACAAGCCTTGGAGGCTTCTGCTCATCCAATATGCGCTTTCAGTCAAACTGCTTCACTCTACAACGTAGCCGATGTGCCGTATAGGCCTTGGCGCAAGATGTGGCAGCAGAGCCTGTATGCGTGCAGACCCGAGTGGTTCCATGTTGCCCCGAAGGGCTTTTGGAAAGCTTCTTAGGTTTCTATTTTTTCTGCGTTGCTCGCAAGGCTTTCTCCACGAACGCCATGTCCTCAGCTCGTCGGCTTTCAGCTGCTGGTCTGTTCGCCCCAGCATGGGAAGTTGAACGGGAGCAGCACTGAAACCGGCTGTTCTTGCGATGATGTCTGCTAGCAGCATGTAGACATCTTGGCAGACTCAACCAGCCCAGATACTGTCGTGGAGAGCGTGGTGCTGTAGACATGCCATGCGACGATGGGGTTGCAGCTCCAATGTAGCGCCAGAGAGGAAGTTAGCGTGTAGCACATGGCGCTGCGACCTTGACAATGGCGTGCCGAATCGGCGGCATTGGAGGCACAGCTGTGGAATGTGGTGGAATCTCAGGGACTGCTGCATTAGCAGGCTTTCTGGTCTTCGCCAGCTTCCTGGGTGCTGGAGCGTCCGGCACTTCCTTCGCTTCGCGTGGGCGCAAAGTCTTTGCAAAGTACTGCGGCCATGATGTTCGATGGGTGCGCCACTTTGTGCAACAGGGGTTGGCGATGAGATCATGCATCATGTAACAGCACCGGTAGGTGCAGCCGCCTGTCGAAGGCATGGAGCTACTCCAGCTGCAGGCACAAGCGTGCGCCGTGGCCACATGAGGGAGTTGCTGTTTATGCCCGATGAGGTCATACACAGACACGGAGCTCGTTCCCTCTGGGCACCTCTGCGCTGCTGGGCGAAGGGCAGAAATGCCCCAATAGTGCCTCCGATGCAAACAAAACTGAATGGAAAGCAGAGTCGACACTACTTCAAACAGTGCCGGGATTGGCGAGAAGTCTAATTGCCGCGGGCCTCTGTTGTTGGTCATGGACCATGTGTGATCCTGATCGTGTCAGGAACGTCCTCCCCTCCGGTGCGACTTGGCAAACTTGATGGTAGGCACTGACCTGGCTCGCCGCCGTCCCAGCCATGCTGAGGCAACCTTCCCGTGTCCATCAGTGCGGGAGGTGCAAGGCGGGTGCTCTCTGTACTGTTCGATCTTGAAGTTTCCGAGGAGGAAAGCAAGGCAGCAATTGAGCTCAGGCCGCTCACGAAGCGCTTCGATGAGCCCGGTGGCTGTGGTCTCGGTTCGCTTCTGGACGAGGCCCCAGAACAGATCCTCGGCTGTCAGAGTCCTGCTGTGGCTTTGGTCAAAGAGTGGATACCCCCTGCGCCATCAGTGGTGATTCGTTGAAAGATTGCGTAGATTTGATCTCAACTGCCTAAGAGCGAAAATGCAGATCTGAAGTATGCGCAACACCACCCTGTTGTGGCCACACACATCTTGAGTCCTGTTAACTATGACGCATTAAACTGCGTGTTGTACCTTGAGTTGAATCTTGCTGCGGTCTCACCTAATTATTGGCTCAGGTTCAAAAATTTGGCTTGGTCGCTCAATGCCAGCTACCAGCACACAGCTTTGTGGAAGCAGTTGCATCCGACGAATTACAGTGTGTGCCATTGCCTGAGCATGGGAGCCTCGCGCGAAACTGTCTTGCATGTCGGAAGACCATCTCGATTCCTCTAAGATTTGTATGCTTGCGACAATGAGCGCAACTTGGCGAGCATCTCGGCTTGCACTGGAAAGTGGGGAAATACAGGTGCAGAAGCCAACGTATATGGTGGTCTCACGTAGGCACCTGCACCTCAGCCTGACATGCGACACACGCACACTCACACACCAGGAGCAGACTAAAGCAAGATGGAGGCCACCGAGTAGGGTACTGGCAGGCTCGTCAAAAGACCAAAAGGCTCGAATGCGATCGCGGCAAACATCGACACGCTACACCGGACCTTAGCCATGCACGTGGGCTGATGCACATGCTGCTTACCAGGCACAGCATAATTAATGCAACCGTAGTTCTCTTTCGCGAGCATGATCCCGTCTTTGAGTGAGCTACGTGTGCACTGCACGAACTACGATACCGCATGAAGGTAGGCCTTGCAGACTTGCAGGAAGAGGAAGAGGGGGAAGAGAGACAGAGGAGCGGGGGGTGGGGAGTGCCCACTCCTCATACGCCTGAGCAACGTAAAGCAAAGACCTCCACCTCAGCCCTGGCGAAAGAAAGAGCGCGCGAGGCGGCGGTACAACCTTTGACATGAGCAAGTTGAGCTGTCTTCTTTCTGCCAACGGATACGCCAATGCCAGACTTCATGTTCTGGATGCGAGTCGGCGGAAAAACAGAGGGAAGCTCCACAGCTTCGGCTTTCACTGACTGCTCTGCTGAAGGGAGGCTAGTCTGCGCTAACTTTGTGTACGGTATGCCGGTTGTTATTCTGTAACATGTGACGAATACTCGCTGCAGATTCAGAGTTCTAAGACTGCGAGGCGTCCCTTGAGCCCAAAGTGAAAAGAGATAGAGACAGAGGATGACAGAGGTCTCCATCCCCAGCGAGTGGGGGCAGGCGCGTCCAATCACGCCCTGCTCAAATGGAGCTCGCAGATCCTTCTGCTCTGGGGACAGATCCACCTTCGACCCTGTAACCGTATCCAGTTCTCTTTACCCTGGACAGCAGGGGATCGAATTGGTCTTGCTGCTGAAGAGGAGTCGCTCATGAATGGCGTGGTCGACTCAACATCGTCAAGATCGAAATTAGCTGAGGCCTTTGACACAGTGCTCCAGCAAAGGTTCGGGGATCTTGTGTCGCGCAGAGTGGCCGGGGAGGGGGCCTCCCCTTCCCTTGGAAGGCGAGGTTGTGGCTGAGCATTTGCTAGATGGCATCGGGGCCTGCTACATGGATGACTCCTACGTCGGGGGCCAGTGTGCCAACAGACTCCCGTGCGCCTTGGAGCTGGCCGCCACTGGCAAGCCCAGAAGCAGGTGCTCCACCGGAACCAGAGTCTCATTCTGTCCGGCCCTGCCCATCAACATGACGTTACAAGCTGCAGGCACGGTGGCTCAGCTTCGAGCTATGCTGGGACTGAGAGCTTTCCCATGCAGTCGCAAGCCAGGACTACCAGGCTAGCGCATGCACCGCTGCACCAGAGTCACCAGCTTGTCCACGCATGCCGCAACCCCACGCCCAGCCGGTAGCCCCTGGCAGCGAGGGCGGACTTGTTGACGACCCACTACCCCCTCAACAGACACAAGCCATAGAGCAAGCAAGCAAGCAAGAGAGCCGTGTTGAAGACGAGATGCTCTCTCTGTGCTTCTTGCTGGGTTGCCGGTCGTTCTTCTGCCTGTCCTGAGTATTTGTGCGATTGCTTTGTCTGTCCCACTGCATGCAGAGGTGCATCTGCACGTATCGTACAGTACATGACATGGGCGGAGACGTGCTGCTGTGTAGATGCAAAGAAGGACTTAGCCAGACGCGAGACGCGAATGCCGAAATGCAAGTGAAACATCGCTCGGTAGTGAAGCTAGGTGCAGACCTGCTGGCGACGCAGCTGTTTGCTGGGTCTCGAGCAGATGTTCCAGCGACTTACCAACATTGAGTCGCAAGATCGGACTTCTGTCCAGAATCGTGCATCGACCCAGGTTCCTGTACATACTAACCCTGGCGAAGACGATCCTTTCCAACTTTCTGGCTACGTCGACAAATCGCCCTGCGACGGTTCTCCTGTTCAAGCGATCCAGGCACCGTCCGACACTCAGACTTCGATTCAGGAGACCTAATCGGCCCAGGAGATCCAAGCCGACAAAGACTACCAGGCTTTTGCCTCGGCTTGGCTCCAGCATGCAAATGCCACCTGGCCGCAAGCCGAACCTAAGCGGCTCAGCTTGTTCGTTGCAGTTGGGACTCCACTGAAGTGGCTTTCTTTCAGCCCTTGGCCGAAGACAGTCGTACGCTCCGAATCCGAACAAAAACCGACAGGTGCATCATGAAGCAGCTTTCGCTGGGCTTATGCAGGACCAGCACAGCTTGGTCTGGCCTCCTCTAGTCCCGCTTGTCCTAAGGTGTCATGGCACCACATGAACTACGACTGCATCCTCACGACACGTTGCGCAGGCGAGGGGCCCTTGCGTCATGCTACGAATCGCTGATGTGCGGTATGGAAAGCACCGGCAGCAGCAGTGATCGTGTATGAATCTGTGAGGTCAAAGCTCAAGAGACTTCGCTTTAAGTTTGTGCACGAGTATGGAGGTCTGACCCTGCCAGCCGCCATCGATGACGAGCTGGCGGATGAGGCAGCCGTGCGAGCTGGAGCAGCTCGAGCATCGAGTTTCAGCCTGAAGAAGGGCCTAAGCCATTGCACCAGCCAGGCATTGTACTGGGGCTGGCGGCAGCAAATGGCTGCAGTTCCTTGGCATAGGCTCGATTGCTCCCCGCCTCACAGGTAGTTCAGGTTCTAGCAAAACCGCCAAGGCAGCCAAGGCTTGGACACTTGGGGTCGAGGATGGTCGAGGTATGTTTGAGGGGTACGATGCGGCATGCATCGGCATGCCATATCTCTGAAATCAGGATGGTGAAATATCCACTTTCCCAGCCTCTGAACACTGAGTGGGAAATGAGAGTGCCGAGGTCCGCACCACGAACTGGACCTCCCTGGTGGCATCAAGGGCGTCCGCGCCTCGTTTCTTGCTGCCTCAGCCAAAGGATTTCAGACGGCACGCCGGGAGGCTGGATGCCCTACGGGATCAGCTCACGATGGCATCTCATGGGCGGAAGCTAGTTATGTGGTCCACGCATGACAGCACCTCCGCTACGGAAAGGGCCAAAGTTGATGTTCTGTCAGCGCCGTGACACAAAAGGCACTATGATGTACCTGCTCAACGCGCTCGAGGGTTTTGAACCTTTGATAATTCAGATCTTGTTGCGTCGTGCCCGGATCAATAGTGCAGAAAACGGGAAGCCCAGTTAGCTGAGGACGATCGATGGCCAGGCAACTCTTCTTGACCCGTAGTGCCCGACATGGTGTTGATGGTTGTCCTCAGTTTCACTGTCGTCGGCAGGCTACGCTTCGTCAGTGCTCTTGGAGCTTTACGCTGGACCGGGTGGGGAGAGGATGTTGCGCACTGTTCGTGATGGGGAGCCCATCACGCTGGGAGTCTGTGGGGAGGCGTGGAATGGAAGCTGTGAGCGACAGTGGGGAGGGCTGCTGTTCTGTCTGACAGGTTCTCTGTCCCCTGTCCCGCTTCGTGCAGCCTGCTGGCAAAGAGGGGTCCTCTGACAAAGTTTTGAAAAGCAAGTGCACAGATGTCCAGGGCTGCCGTCGACGCTTGGCAAGATTGGGGCTGTGCTCCAGCAGAACAGCTTTGGGAGCATCGGGTGGACGAGGCCCCGTAGGGTCGTAGGGCTCCTGTTGCAGATGTCTCCTGAGGCAGATGATGTTCGTTTCCCATCCTTGTGTGTGTGCACGTATCATCTCAGGGCCCTTGCTGGGCTTGGGCCCTGCTTGGCATGATACCGGCCTCGCTGCTGTGAGCCTTGGCATCCGAATGAGGACTTTGCAGCTAGTTTTCAATCGTTAGGCAGTTCAGCCTGCACAGTTCCGTTCCGAGGGCTCCGATGCCGGAGAAGTTCTCCATTGAGGGAGCCGCTGATCGTTTGATGCCACAGGGCGATCGGCCTATAGAAACTCGTCGACTAGCACGATATCCCAAAAAGGAAAAAAGCTGGGCTTCAGAAGTAGTGCTTGCCCGGAAGCCGCTTTAACCGAGTCGTAGCCTCTAACCACGCTCTCCACGAGGTTTCAGAAGCAGAGGAGCTCGAGCCTCGGACTCTCCTCGAACTCGGCCCTCTCCTTCATAACCAAACTTTCCGAAAGAATAGGGTACTGTATTTTGGGGTCCTTATAATAATAAGGGTCCTAGTATTTAGGGTGCCAAATTAGGTCCCCTGTTTTCGGAAACTCCCTTATCTCTGCATTCGGCGTTTGAGGTTTGGAAGTGGAGACGATCTGGACTTGCCCATGTGAGCCGTCGGCTTCGGTCGATCTCAATGACAAGCTCCTTTCAGGGATTGAGGACAGGGTCCACGCAATCCACGATTGGGCCTCTTAGAGACTGCGAGGGCTGTCAATTCGCCAATTCGCACTCGAAGGCTCGCAAGGCAGAGGTGATTCAATGATCACGCAGTGAATTTAATGACTCGCAAGGTGCAATCACTTATAAGGCCTTCAAAAACATCCCTTAAACGACCCTGATACGACAGTGCTTTCGGAGTTGATGGAGGGGCTTGACACTTCTGGAAGCGGGCGATTGGTCGCCATGAAACTAGGCCCGAAAGGGCATCTAGCTACATATCCACACAACTAAGCACAGATAGACAGATAGACAAGGTAGTCAGGCAAGCATGTTGGTAGATAGTTGCATAATGACAGGGATTGAGATCAGACGAGCCGGCCGTGCCAACGCCACAATTCGGATCTTGCATAAATGCTCGTGTGCAAAAGCGAAGCGCCCGCCGGTCCACTGTTCGATATAATGGGCCACCGTTACATCTAGGTTGCAGGTTGAGATGCTTCAAGCAAGCCCAGGTAAGGCTTCCTTGGTTTCTTCCGCTGCACCTTTTGCCGCTGCCTTTCGAACCGAAGCTGGTCCTCTATTGGAGCGGCAACAGAGGCCAGAACGAGGGAGGTGGTGCGCTCTACATCCTTATCTGATCTCATAGCAGTACTGTCTCAGGCCACGGTCATGGCGAGCTCGGATTTCGAAGAGATTGTCAAGAGGCCGGGAGATGAGAGCTCCGGCTGGTCACAGTGGCGATCAGGATCAGTACCATGACGCTGATGCGGGTGTTGCTGTTTATGATATGGTGATGTTGACTGGTCCAGTGGGGCTGGGGATTGGGATGATGTTGTTGCTTGTGCATGATCGAAATCTGAAAGGCATGACGAAAGCCCTCTCCACAAGTTGCTACTGTATCATCTTTTCTACCTTCGTCGTCATCTCCCGTAAAACTTTTGCTGCCTCCGGCACTTTACTGTAGCGGCCGTGACGGACATCGTCGCCATTAAACGGTCAATTATGATCGTGGCCCTCTTTGCTGCCCAAACGGATATCTTTTGCCTGAAATAACGGACGAAGGTGCTTGGATGCTCGAAGCTCGAAGCCAGGGAAGCCAGTTGCGACCGGCGCTCAGTGCTTGTTCAGGAAAGCATTGACTGCCAAGCAGCCTGAAAAATGAGGTTTGAGGAGCAGGAAATCAAGGCTCTATGCCTTCAGGCAGCCCTGCCTGTGGGTATCTTTCGCGTGGCTGGGGAGATTGATATGTTCTGCATCTATTCAGAATTGTACCGGTACCCGGAGCAGCAAAAGCCCAGCGCTGGTGTAACTCCGGAATTGTGACTTCTCCAGAGCTCGTGACCAGGTCCGGAGCATTTTCCTCTCGCAAAGCCCCTTTTTGGAGCTGGAGGCTCCCGTCCAAGCACACCACCGGAGCATTGTGAATGCCCAGCGCAACAAAGCAAGGCGCCTATGAACATCTGCGGGGACGTTCATGGGCCTCGCCCTTTACGGTGAAGTCACTGCTGAGGGCCTTCATAAGCAGTCACGATGCACGCGCCCCCGCCGTAAGGCAGTTTCACGACCTGCTTCGAATGTTCGAGTATGGAGGGTTTCCGTCCATGCCCCGGAGGGCTTTGCCAGCGGGGAGGCGAAGGGCGAGTCTGAGAGAAACGCATTCCTGAGGCCCAATAGCAACTATCTTTTTCTTGGCGACTACGTGGATCGAGGTGCATGGCATGTTACTGGATCAAGCGCAGCTGCATCGTGTCCACGACGGATGTGCGCAAGGTAAGCAAAGCCTTGAAACAATCGTGCTCCTCTTTACATACAAGGCCAATTCGCTCCCGCACAGCTGTGGTCACTGAATTTGTGAGCCAGCATTGCCGTGCAAGCTACCCCCTGGGAGGCCCTACATCCAGAAAACTTTTTCTTGCTTCGCAGCGCCCTCGTGTATAGACATGATTCATTCAAGACAGACTCTGGCATGGCGCCCTTTTCCCCCAAGCACCTCTCATCACAATGACAATGTGGCAGTTGGCAGCCACTTCCGTGTACGTAGAGTTGCGGGCTTCGCTCGAGGTGGCAACCATGAGAGCGCGTCGATTACGCGCATCTATGGGTTTTATGATGAATGCAAGCGACGCTTCAACATCAAGCTTTGGAAGAGTTTCTGCGACGCCCGGTGCTGAGCCTGCCTGAGTTTCAAGGCTCCTTTAAGAGTTTGAGCGAGCGAGGTATTTAATTGCCTGCCAGTTAGTGCCCTGGTCGATGAGCCGCAGCCTGAGCTGAGCAGTTTTAACGCACATTGGGGAGCTTTTCCCAAATCCATGTAGCCCCCGCGCAATTTCAGGGATTTTGTCTGAGGAAAGTCATGTGCATGCACGGGGGCCTTTCGCCCGAGCTCCAGCACTTCGATCAGGCCACCTCTTGCTGCATCCGCTCTCAATCCGCGGGTCATCATAGACTTATGCACATCGCAAGACTGTCGAGGGAATTGCGGGCCTCCCGAGTCTTGTCTGCCAGATTCGGAAGATCGTTCGCCCCACAGACGTGCCGGACTCCGGCCTGATATGCGACCTGCCCGGGTCTCTGTGGTGGGTCTGGCTGCTTCAAGCTTCTGCTTTATGGTAGCCGTAGCCGCCGCATCCCTTACCCGAGGCTGTGGTCAGATCCTGACAGGCACGACCTCTTCGAGGGACTGATTCACACTCTGATTCACTCTCAGGATCATCTTTGTCATGGTGCTTCTGCCAATTGGCGAGATCAAGCTATGGTTGCGAAGCAAACAGCAGCTGTTCATTCTTCGAAAGTTTTCCGGTCAATGTCACGGGCATAGCTGCAGCGGCTTGTTAAGACATTGGCGGTTTTGTGTTGCTCCCAATCGCATAGGATGCAGCGGCATAGGGAGAAAGGAGAAGGGGAGCCGCCAAGATCTAACAGAGGGCTCAGGCTTGCACCTTCGCAAGACGAAGGGTGCGGGCTTGCACGTGCGGGCTGCTGCCCTCAAGCCCCGAGCAAGCAGACTGACAGGCAGGCAGGCAAGAAAGCGGGCAAGTAAGAGAACAAGAGATAGATTCAGTTAATTAGACGCAAGTCAATGATTCGGAGCTTGTCAAGACAGTGCTGGGAGGGACTACGTCGGCTGGGCTGAGAACGACCGTGGCGTCTCCTATGTGTTTGGGACCTCTTGTAGCCAGATTAAGTTGCATTACATGTTCATAGTTATGGTAGGTGCCGAGTATTTACGGCGCCTGCAGGACCGACGTCGTTGCGGCTTTCCTCAAGCGATACAACCTTGACCTCGTCTGCCGAGCCCACCAAGTGGTTGAAGACGGGCACAACTGGCAAATTGTCTGCGAACTCTGTGACCACAGCGGAAGGGAAGAACTTGTAGCTCCTGCCCTAATGCCAGGTACGAGTTTTTCGGCAAGAGAAACCTCGTTGCATGCTCGGCAGGCTGTCCACACACTGTTTTTTGGGTTTCTGCACAAAGTGCCGAGGTCACCTTATTCAGCGCCCCGAACTATTGTGGCGAGTTCGACAATGCGGGGGCCATGATGACTTTGGATGAGCTCCTCGCCTGCACATTCCACTGCGGTTGTATTGACCAGCCCACGGCCCACTCTTACCATCAGAAGCTGCGCAGAGCCTGTGGCCGACGTACGCCCGAATGGCAGGACGCTGATGTGCAAGTTCATCGTCCTGAAGCCGCTTGGCAAACTCTGGAAAGTGGGTGGTGAGGATAGCAACAGATAGAGTCAGATAGAGTATGCCGAGTAGGCGTTGGAGCAGTAGTACTTTGTCGATTTCCCTGCTACGGTGAAGAGCATTACTACTCTTATCGTTTTCGTCGGCTTACTCCGACAGCCGCTGATGCTCCTGCTCCTGAATCAACTCCTCCTACGCTACTCCTGCTGCTATTACGACGATCACTACGGCTACGATTCCTGCTGCGGTTTTTCTTTTGCGGGTGTGGAATACCGAACTGGATGGGGCTCGGCCCGATACATTGGCTTGGTGAGGTGGCGGGTGTTGCTGTTGTCCTATTTCTGAACGTCCTGTCTATGGCGCTATCGCATCACTGAAGGCCAACGGTCAAGAGAAAGTGAAAAGGCGAACGGCTCAGCTTCAGAATGGCCGTTCTGCCCCTTTGTCCTTGCTTGTCGGTCTCAGGTCTTCTGCGGTCATTGGGTTCTGAGACTCGACAACCCGAGGACTACAAAGAATACCTCTGACTTCTAGCTATCTCACCAAATGCCGGGCCCTGGGAGGCAGTTTTACAGGACTGGCTCCAGAAGTAGTTTCTTGCCAGGATGTTCATCAAATGGCTGTTGCAGCAAAACTGTGCCCAGAGCAAGTGGTCCGCAAGCTGAACTGAAGACAGGCGCAAGGCTACGGCCATGACTCAAGCGTGACCAGTATTGGCTTTTGGAGCAGATAAAGCAACTTTGCGCCACACTTCGTGCAAGCATGCGAGCTGCAGCTTGCCCAAATCTTAGAATGGTGCAATGCACATCAGAACCTGCAAAGTATCGCGAGAGCTATGTGCTGCTTCGATTAACGTTGTTAGCCAAACACTGAGTCGCTCCAGTGATTGCGGCACTGTGTTTCGGAGACAAGAGCTCTCGCAGCACATTTTGCCATATCTCACTGCGGAGGCTTGTGAGAAGAACTTACCTCCCCCAAAATGTGATTTCCTGGCACATAAGGTAGAACGGTAGAATGACATGGTTTAAGGCAATGACGGCTTCATGCTTCGCAAACCACGTACATGCAGAGATGCCCAACAACGGCCGGCTCGGAAGATGATGACCTTGGCCGATTGTGAGTTGAGGTGGATGCTGCTGCGGCAGCTCAAGCGTTTGATCTGAAATATGTTTCCGTACCGCTGGTTCTAGTGACTCCAGTAGTTAGAGTCAGCTAGAGTAGTTGTGAGAGCTGCCGCATGACTGAACGGCGAGACCTTGTTTGACAATTTGATGCAGCAAGGACGACAGCTGCTGCCTGGGAATCAGTCTTGCAGTAAGGGTAGGCTGGACTTTCCTCTTTGGGAGAGAAGACTGTGACTACTGTTAGGATGTGCACTACTGTTTGCCGAAATACCAACCCCACCTTCGGCAACCGCCACTGAGCCCATCCAAGCAACCAGGGAGCCAAGCCGAACAATCCAAGATCCGATTACAATTAACCATGGGCTCTCCTTCCGCGTTACTAGGTCACCTCGCGTATGAACTGAATCCAAACCTACTAGAGCATCAGACAGGAAGTGTGAATTAAACAATTCTGATTGCCCAGCTTCGGCTCGCGATCCAACTTTCCGCGTTTTCCAGTCTCCCGTGTGGCTGTGGCCGATGTCCCTGCAAACGCAGCGCGGTCGACAGCATGACAGATGCTAGAAATTCCGGGAGCCACCTTGGCGCTCGACGAATCGGCTTCGGACTCTCAAGGCAGCCTGTATCCAAGAGAGTCCAGAGCGATACATCGAAGAGGCGTTGGCGCATCGCAGCTCCAAAGGTTGTGCAGATGATAGGCTTGACTTGATCGATGTCGATGATGACTCAATGATGATTTCATGTCAACCAGGATCACACAGGTTGACATGCCTGGTCTTCGCTGCTGCTGACTGCATGCTGAACAGCTGCTACTGGTAGTTGCTTCTGCGTCAGCTGTTTCAAATCCGAGAAAGGTGCAACCTTCAGATAGTCAGAGTGAGCAGTCTCGTGCTGATGGCGCTTTCCTTGCGATGCTTGACGCAGGCTTCCAAGGCAGTGGCACAGGTGGTCTCGCCAGTTTCGCCAAGGTCTTTGCAGGTGCCAAAGACTCCCAAAACTCCCAAAACGCCAAGGACCCCGAATACACCAATGACGCCACAGAGGCCCGTGCCCTTTGGGCTGCCCGACGAGGCGATGAAGCGTGCACCAAAGGTCCCCAGTGTACGTACTGTGCACTTCGATGAAGTGACCCTTTGCTTGGATGGAGAAAAGGGTTCGGAAGCTGTCCAGCTTCCACTCAGCAAGGCTTGCGCAGGCGAAAGTCCCAACACCTGTGTGCCAACACCTTCGCTGGCTGAGTTTAGGACAAACCTTCCGGTGTTGTTGGGGCGGCTACGGGCGCAGGAGGGCCAGTCGCAGCAAGGCGATGAGAATGGCTCGGCCGAGAGCAGCGCGTTGGCTGCCCAACGTGCTTTCCTCGCCCGACAGTCACGTCGTCAAAGCAGAACCCAGTGTCAGTTCGTAATCTGAATCTGCGGCTGCACCAGCAGCAGCGTGGTGTGGCAGTGGCGACATGGAGAAGGTGAACGGTGAACGGCTGCATGCTTGCATACGTGCGCTTCGGAAATCTTCGAAGCCAATGTGGCCCCACCTTGGTTGCCGCTGCCAGTCATGACGATGCTGCTGAGTAGGCCGCGGGTGAGAGGTGGCCATGTACAGCTTACGCCACCTAAAGATTTAGTGCCAGGGTTAGGTGTAGTTGTACAGCATCCAGCACCATCACGGCGACTGCTTCAAGACTTGGAAACATGCCAGTGCCAAGGAAGGACTGGGCGCAGTGCATGTGTATTCTTGACAGGTATCTGCACCCAATTTGTACCAGCAGCCGGACTCCTCAAACCGGCCCCAAGCAGAGATACTTACTACAATTCATGCTTAAAATGATGCTCGAACTCAAGACAGCTCCCAGTGTGTGCATGAGCACCACCTCAGGAATCAAACGCACGTCTTTTGAGAAGAAAGTAGGTTTCCTTTCGTGCCATCCGCTGGGAGGCCAACCCGCATGCTTTGTGCTCCTGCTTTGTTTTACATCGCTGCAGCCATGTCATCTGACACAAGGCGCTGCGTGGACCATGCTATCTGCTTCCAGTGATCCATACTATGTGGCCAGAGAAGAGGTGGCCAAAGCCATGCAGAAGCTCCAAGGCTGGGGTAGGTGAGGCAGGAGTGAAGAGTGCATTCCAGTCCTGAGGCCTTTTCCCGGAGTGGCGTCGCCTTCTGCAGACGGAGAACACCGCCCGCTCGGAACGCTTCAAGGAGTTGCACTCCGAGCTCGCAGGCGCAGTTTTGCAGTGTCTCTTCTGCAGAGTTTGCGTGTGTCGGCAAGGTGAGCTAGAGCAGCTGAGCCTGGACTTGGATGATATACATGTAGCTCGGCTGGAGTCCCCGTTTTGGATGCTCTAAGGCCTCTAAGGCCTCTAAGGCAGAAGGTGAGACAAAAAGGAGCAGTTGTTGTGTTCCAAAGTCTTCCCCCGGCACTTGTCAAGGCCACAATCAGCATGGTCGAAGGCAACCGTGGCACCTTCCAGATCAGCGATGCAGAGCTGGCAAGCCGCCGGCGCTTCGTGACGGAGTCGCGTCAAACACTCGAGCAACTTCAGAAGGACTTCGCGGGTCTGGTTCATCACCGTATTTTGGCTTGTTGATCGAAGTGCAAGGACATGCGCGGGCCACAGACGCGGGCAAAGCTGGAAAGCGACCAGAAGGTGGAAGACTGCTGCAGTTCCGATGCCGGAAAGTTCAGAGCGCACGTCCTGAGATATAGAAAAGTGAGCATGCCTTCTGCACACCACCCATACCATAGTCCACGGCATCTTCGGGACGTGTTTGCCGAGCGAGTCTAGGTGCAGCTTTGTGCTGCTCTGCGACTCATTTGACAGGCACTGCTTTCCAGTGCAGCCTCTAGCGCACGTGCCAGCGGCTTGCTTGGAGCACGGGGTATAACTTGTACACTGTAGCAGCTGCAGCAGCAAATCGGCGAGGCTGAATGTCGAGTTGAATTTGTCTCAGGAGAGGAGCGACAAAGCCGAGCCGTGCAGGAGCCCACGACATGCAAGTGCAACCCAGCGTGAAACGCTGTGCTTGGCAGGACAACCAGGCCTTCCTTGACAGGCAGAGACAGCAACAAGCTCAGCTCATGGCAAGGCAAGACGAGGACCCACGCAGCGCTTTGCTGCGTCAGATCCACGCGGGCTCTGAGAGTCGAAAAGCCTCCGACTCTAACAAAACCAAGCAACTCAAGCATAGCTATAGCTGCTTGACGGGAGACTTCTTCTCTGCTGTAGAAACTCGTACTGGCGTCTGACAGTTGACTGCTCTTTGGGCTTCCTGAAGCATCGATCCGCATGTCTATGCTTATGCTGATGCTTCTGCTGACCATATGAAATGGCATCCATGTGCTGCACCTGAGCACAGTTTGCACGCATGAGACATTGGGTGAGGGGTACTTACAGCTGGTTGCAGTGAGGACCTGACCGAGCTGTCGCTGAGTGCGCAGAGGTTGGGCAACACAGCTCAGACACTGGGCTGCAAGGGCCTTGAGTTGTTCCCCTACCTTCCCGACCCTCGCGTCCTTTGACCTCGTTTTCTGCATCGGGAAGGATTCTGAATGTTGAGCTCAAGGAGCAGCAGAAGCTTCTCGAGGAGCTGGACGAGGCATCTGCCGTCTGCGGTGAATTCAACTGCCTCCTGTGCCATTGATCGGGTGCGCAGGATATTGACAAAGAAGCCGAGAAACTGAACTTTGCCACGAGTCCGCAATCCGCTGTAAAGTTTGAAACTCCAAAAGTCGTGTATTGATTGAACCCGGTTTCGCTTCGCATGAGCTCTTCGGAAGGTCATGAAGCGCATGGGGAAGCTTCTCAAAACAAGCGACAGCAAGCAGTCGCTCCCTCGAAAGTGCTTGTGTGCGCAGCATAAACATAGGTGCAGATCTCCTCGTCTCCTCGATGTGCAACGCTTATCTTTGCGAGGCTTTGCCTGATTATCGGGCTCAGTTGTTTGGTCGCTTTCCTGCTTTTCCTTCTCATCAACACCTGAGCCTGGGATTGCTTGGAGACAGCTTTGCTGGTCGGATTCGATGGCACGGTACTTGGTACAGTTCTAGTGCCGTGCCAACTTGACCCACCGACTATGCCTACGATTGTACCAACCAGGACAGAGCGACCAAGAGAAGACAGTCATGCGAGCTGGCGCTCAACTCGTTCCTGGTTCGACTCGGTTCGACGGGTTTGGCAACACTGGTTCCAGCAACTTGGCAAAGCCAGCGGCAGAAAAATGCGCATGGCGTGCGTCAAAGGTCAGAAGTGCCTCCCTGCAGAACTTGCGGTTTCTCTGCGCTTTCATCTCAAGCCCTGCAGCCTGTGACGCCGATACATGCCGACCACGATTTGCCACATGGACATACTGTGACATACCCGTTCATGCCAATGTGCCCCAGACTACGCCCACCTCGCCGCACTTCCAAGCCATGGCGGAGCCCAAGGATGATTATCACACCATGGAGCTTTCAAGGCGGATGGGGGCTCCAGGTTCGCAGGGCAGAAATTCGCATCCATGCCCGCCCAGGCGAAGCATCCAGATCTCAGACTTGCAGGAGGCGCGGACAAATGACGTCATCGAAGCTGGGTGCGTCGGGCAAGCCAGCATCAAACCCATGCAAAATACGAGTCTAAGAGTTTAAATGATGAATAGCAGGAGCTCGACGGCGGAAGGGATCGGCAGAGACAAGCGGAGGCTGGATATCGTACTTAACAGCTTTCCGTGTCCGGAAGGGTGGAGCCGCTGACGCACCTTCTGTGCACACAGACCTTTGTAAGTTTCTCTTGAAGAGCGCAAATTCCCTTTGCGCCGCAACAGCATGAGAGAGAGCGAGAGAGCTCTCAGGGAATAACGAGTATACTGATGTTAAGACACTTCGATCGGAGGCATGTTGGATGTGTGGTGAACAGAGCTGTAGCAACACAAAGAGAGAGGGGAGTAAAGGTACGTGGGCCTTGTTCCACATGTTACAGAGGTACCGCACTGCTACTGCATGGATGAGCAGCTGTTGTGACCTTCCTCCAAACACCCACCTCCTTTCGTTCCGCACCAAAAGGGGTGCACGACAGCGAGGGGGGGGGGGGATCCTCCCCTGAGGCCCGCCGAAAGAAAGAATCAGAGAGAGAGAGAGAGATCCATGCAGCACAGGACCGCTCGGCAGTCTTGGAACGACAAATGGAGAAGCTGAAGGCCCTGCCAGTAGATGCCAGCAGGACTCTGTCCCAAGGCCCTATTACTCACAGATCCAGCTCCTTCTCCGTGCACCTACAGGTGGAAATCTCCGTGCGGAAGAGCAAGATCCAGGATTCGAAGATTCCAGTGAAGTCGAGCGTGAGTGTCAGTGATTAAGCTGTAACCTGCGACTTGTTGCTATCGAATGTTTGTCTGTATCAGAAGAGGAGATGGACGACCAAGTGGCTGCCGATGAGGCTGACGGCTAAAGTGGGGTATTGTGGGCATATTGCAAAGCCGACTTCGACTGGGCCCGGTGCAGGCCGCCTGCCTTCAATCTCAGCGCACGCTGCGGGAGGCAGCCGAGGCCTTCCCTTGCTTTGACGCTAAAGCGGCCAGAAGTCGGAAGCACTTCCAGGCCGCGCAGGCGGAGCTGTCACGGCTCCAGGAAGAGCTGGTGTCCAGCCCAGAGATCCGGTGAACACTCTTGCGGTCAGTAGCGAAGCGTCGGTACCCTTCACTGCCACAAGGCCGTGGCGCAAGCGGCTGTGGCGCAGGCAGAAGCACAGGCTGAGGCATTCAACTCAAGTCGCCAAACTTCGCTCCCCATTTGCGCACGGAGCTTGTAGAGATCAGAACTTTAGTGCGCAGGCACGTAGAGCAGCAGAAGCGGCAGAGGAGGAGGCAGGGCGCCGGCTCTGTTTGCCTGCTGCTAGAGTGTCGGTTTCCAATCAGGACAGAAGACGGCTGGCCGAAGAAGCAGCGCAGGCATTGGCTTGCTGCCCACGACCAACATTTACGATCGCAGCATCATGCCGACAGCAAGCGGACGCAAGCGTTGTTGCTGGGAGCATGCCACACGTTGATGCAATGCCAGCGGCCATGTGCATGGAGGCTCAGCAGCTGGCAGCAGCACAAGAAGCTGTACGAGCTTCACAGGCAAACGTGGAAAAGACAAAGGCCAGGCAGATGTCGGTTTTTCACTCTGCCGCGGTTCTTGCTTGTCTGAGGCTGACCTCCGCGACCTGGAGCCAGAAGCTCAGCCCGTTCCCAGCTCCATAAGGGGTGCAGTGACGCTCCTCCCCGAGGGCGGCTCTTACTGTGGACAAGCAGGGCACCAAGGCCAGCCATGGCCCATGGCAAGCCACGAAGAGCAGCCGATGTATGGCAGGAGCTGACGGAATCCGTGGCTGAGGCGGAGGACATGGGGTATAGTTTGGAGTTCACAACGTGAAGACCCAGAAAACAGTTTTCTTTCGGCGGCCTCAAGGGCAGGAAGAAACCACAACAGCGGCAGTAGATGAACCAAGGTGCCTCTGTGCATCCTTCGGCAAAGGAGAAGAGAGATGCTGCCCGAGCTGAGTGTGAACGATTGGCCACAGTCCTCGAGGTAAGCTGCTTGGTGTCGTCATAGGGCCAGATGGACACGCTGTGATACCTTAACCTTCAGCCTTTCGGGGCTTTCGGGGTAGAGCCAACCAGCTGGTTCCGGCTCGAATCAACAGGAAAAGGATCCGGCCTGGCTTGCGCACAGAAGGATGGGCCGGAATTGTTGGGAATCAGAAAAGAGCCTTTTTTTTTGCAGAGACCAAGCGGAGGAAGTGAGGGGAGAATACGAGGGGATACGTGCATGAACCAATAAGCAAACGCTTCGCGTCGTCCGCCTCGGCCCGGCTGTACTTGAGGCAGGTACATTGTTCGGAGAGCAACATGTAGGTCACACAGCTGAGGTCTTGAGTGAATGAGCACAGTTGCTTCAAAATGTCTCTTAATATCAGTATGTGTTTTCATGCTGAGACTCTGAGCAATAATTCCATGCGAAAGGTGGCACAATCACTGCAACCACACTTCTCACTGGTTTCGTATACAGCCTCCCATGCTTCGGAAGGGGAATCAAGCTTTGCAACGAAGTACAAGACACAGCCCCAGAATTCCCAGGCTTTGGCATTAGCTTCACGAAGGATGTAAGCTTGCCCGTCTTGCCTCGCCGCAAGGAAGAGAC